AATTCAGCTTTGATATAACTGCTCAGCTTTTCAGACCGACCTGATTGTCGACTAGTGATGCTCTATTCCAAATAAATTCCTTTTCTTTCAATAAAAAATATTTTTAATATTTTTTTCCTGCCTCTTTATTATAATTTTGTTCAGTACTGTTTGTTTTCGTTCTAACACAAAGTTTTGTGACAACTTTATCGCTTTAAATTCTACTAAATTCTACAACTTTATATTTTAAAATTCTACTACGGTTTCACCTACTTTGTTGTCTCTAAGCTAAGGCTGCTATGACTAGTTGGATAAGGAAAGAATTCCCTGCCTTTTGAAAATGTTAGAACCGGTTCACTTTCTTGTCAAAATTCTTGTTTTTTAGCATTTGAGCCAAGAATCTTTTGCGAAAAAACGTAATAAAATCAATAAAACATTACGTCAAGAATCTTGCAAGCACGTTATCAAGAAAGTAAACCATTGAAATTATCGAATTCATTCTTTTATACTCGCACGTGTCATATCTGCTCACGAGTAGGTTATATAAACACGTGAAAATGAATATATGGAATGTGATAGAACAGAAGAAAGAATGCAGAGAAAATATATCAATATACTATTCTCTGAAACTCGTATGATAATTGCTTTCTAGCTGTGAGATGGTGAATGAAAGTGATTTAACGAGTATTGAAATCATCAAACCAAAAGGAATCATGTGTATCAGTTTCTCTGAACACTTGGGAAAATGCCGAAACTTAGCCGGTTCAAACTGCATTGGGAAAATTCTATTCGTCAAGCTGTTCAAAATTCCGAAAGCCATCAAAACGAAAAATAACATTAGTGGCTGTACGTAATCAATATGTGATCGTTTGAACTGATATATAGAAACGCAGCTAAACGTAAAAAAGTGATATTTGAAACTGAGAACACTCATGATTTTTTAAAACTACACTGGTCTGATTTAGTCCAGACGAGAAATTGCTATCGAAGCGAAAATTTCATGAACAAGATTGAAAATTCTCACATATTTCTTTCAAATCTTTGTAGAAATGAAGCATTCTTGGAAGGTATCCAGATTTCAAGTTGAACTAAAAGATTTTCGTCCATTATTATCACCTCAATTATTGTACATCATCAAAATATTTGAAACAAACAATTATGAAATACGTCTCGTGGGAGGTTGTATTCGGGATTTGTTGTTGGGTGTGCGTCCGCACGATATTGATTTAGCCACAACGGCGATGCCCGATCAAATGATAAAAATGTTTGACTCTGATACAAATGTAATTATTATCAATACGAATGGTAAAAAATATGGAATATTAACTGTTCAAGTTGGACATGACGATTGTGTAAGTTACTAACAGATTCTGACGGAAAAGAGGCAGGAAAAAAATATTAAAAATATTTTTTATTGAAAGAAAAGGAATTTATTTGGAATAGAGCATCACTAGTCGACAATCAGGTCGGTCTGAAAAGCTGAGCAGTTATATCAAAGCTGAATT